TTTTAAAATTTTTATTTTTTATTTTTATTAAATTATTTAATTAAATAAAAATATTATTTTTCTTTCTCTTTCATTTTTATCCCTCTAAATAAAGTTAATATTAAGTCTTTCTTTTCCTTCACTTCTTCTTTTTTTTCCTTTCCTCCCCTCTCCTTCCTCTCTTTACTAATTTTTATCAAACATATGATAAGCTAATGGACGCAGTTACTTTCCCTTGAATCACGATTGAAGTCACCGGAGGACGATCAATACTTTCAGGGATGAAGGACAAAAACGGCATAACATGAGTGGGGCCCAGTGAATAGGCAGGCAACAGGTGAAGCCTTTTGTTAATTAGTGGCTGAACATCGGATACGAATATATCTGGTATATATATTTATATATATAAATAAATATTTAATTTGTTTGGATATATATTTTACATATATTTGTAGAAAAATAAATAAATATTGGATATAAAAAATATATATTTGTTAAGTATCAAGTAAGTACTAAGCATGAACCTGGCCTATGGGCCAAGTGACGTTAGCAACTATTGTAGGCTCATCTCTCCCCTCTCCCAAGGGTTACGATTCTACCCGGCTCCATGATAAAAATGATAAAAAAAAAAAAATAAGTACTAAGTATGAGGGTCAATACCTGTATATCTAATCTATATCCCTGATTTATGTTTTAGTTTTATATATTTAATTTGTAATATAATGTTATAAAATCAAAATATTTATGTTTTTTTTCTTTTATTTTCTTCTAGCAATAAAGATTCATTAAAAGAAAATCACGTGAATTTTTATTTATATTTATTTTATTATTATATATATATTTGTATATATATAAATATATATACTTATATATTTTGTTTTATATAAAAATTTATATTATATATATGAACTTGTAGTTATATATTAATTTATGTATTTTCAGTGAAAAATTTATTAAGTATATAAATATACTTATAGGTATATTTATAATTATAAGTTAGATAATAAATATAAATTTTTAATATTCAAATAAATATTAACTATCAAAATCTTATATCTATCATTGTATAAATCAAATACAAATGGTTAAATGCTAAATTTGGTCCCTCAACTTTAGTGAGTTGCACATTTTTGGTCCCTTAACAATTTTTTGCACTTTTTTGATCCCTCAACTATACAAAATGCACTCCGTTAATCCTTCTGTCA